GGGGGCCGCCATTTCCCTGCTCTGATCCCGCCCCCACATACAGCGTCACAACCCAGTGACTTGGGTTGCCCCACCCTGGTAAACACCTAAGGCTCCGCTCCTCATAATTAACGGGCGCGAATAGACCAAAAATGGCTCAAGAAGATCTCAAAGCCCCAGAGCCTCTAAATCTAAGCAATGAAGAAATAGCCAAACTTTCAGATGCACAGTTCAAAACACTGGTGATCAGGATGCTCACAGAACTGGTTGATTTTAGTCACAAATTAGAGGAACATATGAAGGCTAAACTAATTGAAATGAAGGGAATTGCACAGGAAACCAATAGTAACGGAAAGGAAACTGGGACTCAAATCAAGGGAGTGAACCAGAAGGAAGAAAACAATGGTCAAACAGGAAAATATGAAGAAACAAGAATTCAAAAAAATGAGAAGAGACTTAGGGACCTCCAGGACATATGTAAATGCTCCACCACCCGAATGATAGGGGTACCAGAAGGGGGAAAGGAACAGTCACCAGTGGAAAACCTATTTGAACAAATAATAAAGGAGAATTTCCCCAACCTGGCAAAGGAAATAGATCTCCGGGAAATCCAGGAAGCTCAGAGAGTCCCAAAGAAGTTGGACCCAAGAAGAAACACACCAAGGCACATCATAATTACATTAGCCAAGATTAAAATGAAGGAGAGAATCCTAGAAGCAGCAAGAGCTAAGGGGACAGTCACCTACAAAGGAGTTCCCATCAGACTGTCAGCAGATTTCTCAAAAGAGATCTTACAGGCAAGAAGGGGCTGGAAAGAGGTATTCCAAGTCATGAAATCCAAAGACCTACAACCAAGATTACTCTATGCAGCAACACTTTCATTTAGAATGGAAGGACAGATAAAGTGCTTCTCAGATAAGATCAAATTCAAGGAGTTCATCATCACCAAGCCCTCATTATAGGAAATGTTAAAGGGACTTACCTAAGTAAAAGAAGATAAAAAAGATGAACAGTGAAAGGACAGCAAACTCACAGTTATTAACAACCACACCTAAAACAAAAGCAAACTAAGAGGACAGCTAGATCAGGAGCAGAACCAAAGAAATGAAGATCACATCAAGGGTTAGCAACAGCGGAGTGGGAGGAGGAGAAGGGGGGAGAAGGTACAGAAAATAAGTAGCATAGACAGTAGATAGAAAATAGATGGGGGGGCAAGAATAGTATGGGAAATATAGAATCTAAAGAACTTGAGACACATGGTCATAAACTAAAGGGGGGGTAATGGTGGGGATGGGGGGTAGGGTGGAGGGGAATGAAAGCGGGAATAGAACTGTAACAGCATAATCAATAAAAAATTAAAAATAAATAAAGAAAGAAAGAAAACAAAAGCAAACTAAGAGGACAGCTAGATCGGGAGTGGAATCATAGAAATGAAGATCACATGGAGGGTTAGCAAGAGGGGAGTGGGAAAAGGAGAAGGGGGGAGAAGGTAGAGAAAATAAGTAGCATAGACGGTAGGTAGAAAATAGATCAGGGGGAGGGCAAGAATAGTATGGGAAATATAGAATCTAAAAACTTGAGAAGGACTTCCGCCAAGATGGAGGCATAGGTGGATGTGCCGTGCCTTCTCACACAACCAAGTTTAGAGACAACTAAATATTAGCAACAGAAAACACAGTCAGAACACGGAAAATTGAACTTTTCCGAAGTCCATTAACAACAAATTCTTCAGCCTGACCGGTAGGGGGCGAAACCAGTGGCTGGTGAGGGGTTGCACAGGAGGACTCGGTCAGCCGGACTCAGGCACAGAATCCAGACGCGTGGAATCCAGGCGCAGGGTTGGACCTAGTGAGCGACCGAGCGAGCCACCAGGCGAGCGACCTCGAAGGAGACAGTGGGGAAGCGGTGCTGCGTGTTGACTGTGGTTGCCCATTTGTGCGCGAGCGAACAGGCGAGGGACCGGGCCGGCGGTCCCCGTGGCAAGCGGCAGAGGGGGCCGCCATTTTCCCCGCTCTGACCACGCCCCCACATACAACGTCACAACCCAGCGACCTGGGAGTCCAAGGCACTGCTTCTCACACTTAAAGGGCCAGAACAGACCAAAAATGTCGCAAGTTCTCAAAGCCCCAGAGCCTATAGATCTAAGCGATGAAGAAATAGCAAAACTCTCAGACGCACAGTTTAAAACACTGGTCATCAGGAGACTCACAGAACTGGTTGATTATACCGACAAATTAGACAAATATATGAAGGCAAAACTAATTGAAATGAATGGAATTGCACAGGACACCAATAGCAATGAAAAGGAAACTGGGACTCAAATCAATGGAGTGGACCAGAAGAAAGCAAATAATGGCCAAACAGAAAAGAGTCAGGAAGCAAGAATTGAAAGAAATGAGGAGAGTCTTAGGAACCTCCAGGACATCTTTAAACGCTCCAACATCCGAATTATAGGGGTACCAGAAGGGGGAAAGGCACAGCCACCAGTGGAAACCTTACTTGAACAAATAATAAAGGAGAATTTCCCCTAATCTGGCAAAGGGAAATAGACTTCCAGGAAATCCAGGAAGCTCAGAGAGTCCCAAAGAAGTTGGACCCAAGAAGGAACACACCAAGGCACATCATAATTACATTAGCCAAAATTAAAATGAAGGAGAGAATCCTAGAAGCAGCAAGAGATAAGGGGACAGTCACCTACAAAGGAGTCCCCATCAGACTGTCAGTGGATTTCTCAAAAGAGACCTTACAGGCAAGAAGGGGCTGGAAAGAGGTATTCCAAGTCATGAAATCAAAGACCTACAACCAAGATTGCTCTATCCAGCAAAGCTTTCATTTAGAATGGAAGGACAGATAAGGTGCTTCTCAGATAAGATGAAATTCAAGGAGTTCATCATCACCAAGCCCTTATTCTATGAAATGTTAAAGGGACTTATCTAAGAAAAAGAAGTTAAAGAAACATGAACAGTGAAAGGACAACAAACTCACAGTTATTAACAACCACACCTAAAACGAAAGCAAACTAAAAGGACAGCTAGATCAGGAGTGGAAACATAGCAATGAAGATCTCAAGGAGGGTTAGCAACATGGGAGTGGGAGGAGGAGATGGGGGGAGAAGGTACAGAAAATAAGTAGCATAGAGAGTAGATATAAAATAGATGGGGGGGGCAAGAATAGCATGGGGAATATAGAATCTAAAGGACTTGAGACACATGGTCATAAACTAAAGGGGGGGTAATGGTGGGGATGGGGGGGTAGGGTGGAGGGGAATGAAGATGAAGGGGGGAATAGAACAACTGTAACAGCATAATCAATAAAAAAATTAAAAAAAAAAGAACGAGACACAGGGTCATAAACTAAAAGGGGGGAATGGTGGGGAAGGGGATGTGCAGGGTGGAGGGGAATGAAGGGGGGAAATAGAACAACTGTAATGGCATAATTAATAAAATATATTTAAAAAAAAGAAATCAAGATTGTTGAGTGCAGATTTTCTTTTGAGATGCTCTGATGGGAGAGGAAGCAGAAACAAGCTGGTGCTAACCCAACAGAGGGAGGGATGCAGGGTCAAAGGAGGTTTTGCTTGTGTTTTTGTTATTGTAGTTTTAAGCTGAGAAACAGTCAGGCGCATTCATAGGTTGAAGAACAAGAGCCAGTGGTGCCGAGAGAGAGGCTGAGATGAGACCCCAGCAACGCTGGCAGAGGTGGCTGCAGAGCACAGGCAGTAGCAAGGCTGAGTGGGGAAAAGACCACCTCACCCTGACACTGGTGGGTGGGTCGAGTGTAGCCACAGTTCAGTTCATGAGGACTGGACCTTGTGTGGAGGGGGCCCTGCTGGATGCCTCCATGTGCTTGAGGAAGCTAGGGTGAAAGGTGAAAGGGGTATGGGCTTAAGATGAGTGGTAAGGGTTTCAAACAGTCGGGAAACAGGAAAATGGGCAGAGAACAAGGAAAAGTTCAGATAAGCAGAACCGGGGCCTGGCCCGAGATTAGTGGCAGCCATCCGTAGGGCTGGGTGCTTTTCTCCTGCAGGGCTCAGCTCCCCACGCTAAACAGTTGGGGGAGCAGAATGGGGATGAATCCCAGCTCTGCGGTTTGTAAGCCAGATGTGCCAAAGGATGGGCAAAGCCAAGGGCGCCGATGAGCAGCTGAAGCAATTAACCACAGGATCATGGGGAAGCAGGGCTGAGGGAGGCAGGGAATGCAGGGATGGAGATCTGAACTCGAGCAAAGAGCAGATGCCATGGGGCGAGAGGGTGAGGATTGGAAGGACAAGAGGTAGTGGTCACTGAGTACGATGCTGGCATGTCGGCTTTGAGAGATGGAACAGCTCTGAGTGATGGAAATGGCTTGGCGAGTGTCATGGAGAATGAAGGTCCCTGGAGTGGAGGAGTCACAGTGTCAGATGGGTCACTCCAATGAAACAGACACTGCTCTAGAAAGCAGGAAGAGAACTGGGTGCCAAAGGCGGCCACGAGCATGAGGGAAGTGGCTCAGGGCAAGGAAGTGACAAAGGAAATGGAAGGGAGACAACCACAGGTCATTACGGGAACCAGTGCAATATTCAGACTGACCGCAGTGCCCGGGGTGGACTGAGTAAAGGCGAATCATGTGAGGTGGGGTTACAGTGGTAGGTTGGGGTGGAGTCACAAAGATCTTTGAATAGCAGGCTAAAAAGCCTACAGATCAGGAAGGCAATGGAGAGCCACTGAAGGTTGTGGAGCCTGTATGCCAGGGATACTCTGGGAAGACAAGACAGGAGACAGTACTGGGCTCAGAGTCAGAACCCTGGGCTCAATAATCAGCAGCAACTGCCATTTACTGTGCACTTACTCCGTACAGGCCACTGCACTGAGCACTCTAAGAAGTTTGTCTCACTGGTTCTCATACTGGACTCGGTTCTCCCATCAGTTAGTAGGAGGGAGATGAGGGAGATGGGACTAGTCTAACTCTGTCACTGCAGGGCTGTGCAGCCTTAAGGCCTGCCATGCCTCACTCTCTTAACAGATGGAATTCAGGAGACTTACAGCTGAAGGAGATGGGGGCTGGCCCAGCAGGGTGAGGCCAAGCAGGACTCAACCAACCGGGGCCAGTCAAGGGAGGCAGAGCAGTTGAAGAGCCTCCAGCTTTTCCTTGCTTCCCACTGGACTGCAGAAAACCGGCGGGCATTCCGTCCTGAGAGAGAAGAGAGGGCCTGAGGAGAAGGAACCAGGAACCGCCGCCCCCACCCAACGTACTTTGGAAAACTGGACGCTGTCCCTCCCCACCCCACCCCCAGAATCCCCACTCTATACCCTCCAACTGCTCAAAGCACTGTGGAAGCGCTTTGCCTCCAGCTCAGTGTAGTCGCCTCTGAGAAGAAAAAGGCGGAGGGGGATTGGCGTGCTGCTGCCGCAGGGCCCCCTGGGCAAACTTAACCCTCTAACAAGGGCTGCGTCCACCTGGTGCTATTCAGCTGAGCTGAGAACAGTGGGCAGATGCTCTCGTTTCGGCTGTGTGAGGCCCTGAGGCCAGGGCTGGTCTCCCTCACCAGCCTTGGTGTTGGCCACGATCAGTTCAACGGTCCATCTCAGGATGTAGGTGGCCCGGATCCCATTGCTCCCCAAGGCTGACAGCTCAGAGAACATCTTCTCCAGCAGGGCGTGCGTGAAGGCCTCGGAGTGCAGGCCCCTGAGCAGGGGCTGCCAGAACTGAGAGAACGGCTTTGGTACCACAATATCATCGAAGTCCATGTTTTCTGGTTGTTAAGGACCATGTGTTGAAAGAGAAAGAGCAGGTGGTGGGTTACAAAGGGAGACAGGGAGGGAGAGGAAGAGGGAAGAACGGGAAGGAGGAATGGAGGGAAGAAGGGAGGAAGGAAGGGGAGGAGAGAGAGGAAAGAGGAGAGAGACGGAAAAAGAGAAGAGATCCCACCACCAACAAAAATCACAGTTGCCGTCGGAGAACCAGAGGAAACAGGAGAGCAGAACAACAGGAAGAGAAATAACTTGGTATCCGGCATCAAACAATACACTCAAAACAGTGGAAGAGAAAAAGAGCTCTGGTTCTAGCTTCAGCTCTGTCAATAACTCACTGTGTGACTCTGGGTCAGTACCTTCCCCTTTCTGGACCTCAGTCTGCCCATCTGTAACATGAGGACGTTGAACCAGATGACCTCACAAGGCCCTTCCAGTTCTGCTGTCCTAGCTCTCTAGCAAGTGGCTGAATCACAATTAGCATGGCACAGTAACAGCATTAGACTTCCCCCATCCTCACCGCAGCCCCCCCAATTCCACGCCCCCTAAGGAAAGCCCAGTAAGGGCTTATCAGTAAGGTTACCTGTTCTTCTCAGCCCAGTGGGACTTCCAGAGGCTGTGGAATGGCAGAGCACAGCCCTTTCCCCAAGTCCGGGGCCGCCCAGGCCTGCCCCGGCCCGCCCAGGCCCGCCCCGGCCTACCCAGCCCACCCCTGGTGTTCTTGCTTCCAAAACACACTGCCCTAGGCAGCAGTGAGCCCCCAAGACCCTACCTTCATACTCTATCTGTAAAGCTGCCAACTGCTCAAATGTGGGGATGAGGAAGCCATCATCCAGGAAAGCATCCAGCACAACGCCCCTGGAGAAAGACAACGCTCAATTAAACACACTGAGGCAGGCAGGAGACCCTCTCCTACTGCCCTGCCCACTCCCAAAGCAGCTAGTGCCTCTGGCTCAAGTGGCCAAAGCAGCATGAAGGGGAAAGCGGAGGGTTGACAGTTGGATCTCAGGCCTCAGCCTCCTGGGGAAGGGGCTGAGCCAGACCAGGACCAGTGGGTTCTGACAAGCACTGAGCAAGTACATGCTAACCTCGGGCCCATAGCGAGGGCAGCAGTGATTGAACAGGCTGAAAGCACAGATGGAGAAAAGTCCCAGGTCTGCAGAGGAGGTAAATGTCTGGAGTCAGTGGGCTAAGGGATTTTGGACTTCAGTTCCTGCTCAGACTGCTTCTCTGGACAGTCCTCCAGTCTCCTACCCCTCCTCTTCCCCTCACTTGCTGTCTTTCAGATCCCAGAAACAGAAGCTTTGGGGACCCAACTGCTGGATTGAATATTACCCTCGATCCTAGGGGCCCAAAGAACCCAGAACTGAGTTATAGGGGTTGAAAGTGTAGACAACAGGAGTGATTCCCCGCCCCCATCTAGCTCAAACCCAAACCAGCAACGGCCATCTCCTCCAGGGCCAGTGCTTCCCCCAGAGGTTCTCGCAGCTGAAGAGGCCTAGCGGGGACACAAGTTCCCAGGGCATCTTGATGCACAGAGACTTGTCATGCTCGGATCCCACCCTCGACCAGGCTAAAGAGGCAAAGAAGTTGGCTATGCTTCTATCCATCTCCCCAGTATCCAGGAAGAGCACTGAAAGAAGCCAGTCAGCTGTCTGCTGAGCACAACCAGGCAGACACTAGTATACTGGGGCACATTGATAGCTTCCCCCGCTGCTGAGGGGCCCACCACACACGCCTCTGCTGAAGGCTGTGGCCAAGAAGCCTAGGCTGGGCACACACTGAGAAAATGCCTTTGGACCTAGTGGTATCCTGGAAGTGAGGACAGACTGTCACCCAGGCCCACTCTGCCACCTACATACCACGGCCCTACACTCTCTGCTGGGTCACAGCTCCATTCTTGTCTCTAGCTGGGGAGGCCCAGCACTGCCTCCACAGGTGTTCAGTGGAATGTTCCCCAAAGTCTTTTCCAGCTGAATTTAGGTAGCAAGCCCCCAAGAGCTACGGAGGAGAGGAACAGCCAGACATTGTTTGTCTGCCCTGGATTGAATTGAGCAGTTTTTGGTGATAGGGGAAGAAGAGTCATGGCCATACTGAGTAGGGAGGGACTTAAGTCTTTGGAGGAGTCAGACCCTGGGAAGGCCCCAACCATGACTGTCCAGGGGATGCTAATACTCTCCAACAGAATTTCAAAAGGAAAGACCAGCAGGGCCTGTCAAGTACCTTTGACCTCAAACTTGAACAAGGCCCATGCAGTGAAGGGATAAGGATTAAGGGCTTCTCCTAGTTGCCAGGGCTCCACATACCACTGGACAGAGAGAAGCAATCCTGGCTAGTGCACAGATGACAGCAGACACCCTGCTTCTGGCCATTTCTGTGATTCACAGTATGCAACCCCGACCTGGTAGCTGGCAGTGCCCAAGCAAAAGGGTCATGCAGAATGCAGGGACCTGCCCCATGGCGGGATCAGAATCATCCCTGAGATTTCCAGCAGCAGAGACTGGCAAGCTGGGATATAGACACTGATTTCAGGGAGGTTGCCACACTATACCCTAGAGGGTAGGCAGTCCCTGGTGACTTAGTTACATACCTGTTCTCCCATGTAATGCCCTTGAGGTCTGCCAGGATGCAGTCTATAGGTGGAGCCAGCTGATTCCACACCTTAATGGCCTGAGGCAAATACCTAAATTTTTCCAGCACCTGCCAGCAAAGAGGGTCCCATCAGCAGGCTGGCTTGGCCAGGTAACCGGTCCCTGCCCCTCCAGGATCCCTTCCCATGGGACCTCTCAGCACTTTCCTTAAAGGGGATATGGCAGGGCATGCAGGGGTGGGTCCACCACTCCCCTGCAGGACCTGGAACTAAAAATATCCTGATCCTCAAATGCCAGACTTTCTCCTCTCCCTCCCCCAACCCCTGAATTCCCTGTGACTCCCAACACCAGATACCCTAATACTGAGTTATCCACTGGGGGCATTTGGTTGGAGTTGGACAGAGACCCTTGGGCCAAGAGGCGAGGGGAAGTGATGGATTATGGAAAAAAGGGAATATGGAGACCCAAGTTCTGATCCTAGTTCCATCGCTAACTGCACGTGACCCTGGGCCAGTCCACCTATCCATGGCTTCAGTTTCTTCATCTGTGAAAAGGAAGGGTGGAGCTAAATGACTTCTAAGCTATTTCCCTTCCTGATAAAAACAGAACCCCTTAAACTCACCTGATCTACAAAAGTTCTTTGGGCGCCACCTGCTGAACAGCTGCAAGTACTGCAAGGCTATGAAACCACCTCCACCCAGTTGTTCCCTACCACTGATGAGGCACAAACTTCCATCATCTGTTCCCTTCCATCAGTGTGGAGGATCAGCCAATTGGACTCGGCTCCTCTTGTCTCCTTCCTATTGCCCTCCCTCTCTCTTAGCAAGAAGTTCCCTCAAGCTTTGCCACTTTTCTTTCAACTTCCTTCTGAGGACTTCCCTCAGGTAACTGGCAGAAGGGAAGAGGTGGCTGGGGCCAAGTCAAGGGCACTTTCTTACCTTAAACTGCTCCTCTTCATATGATATCAGTAGTTCTCGGGCTCTTTCTGAAAACCAAAGAGGGAAACAGATAGGGCAGCCAGGCCAGCTCCTTCTGCTGATGGAGCTGAGGTAAATACCTAAATTTACCTCCTTTCTTGAGTAACTAGAATCCTTGCCTCTCCTACTTCACAGGGTTTAAGGAAGATGATTTGTGACAGTAATTATTTTACATGAAAAATCACCACAACCCCAAAGAAAAGGCTGAGCAAGGAAAATAACCAGTGTCAACCATAAGCATGAGAGGGGCTCACGGGCCCCTTTCTGCCCGCTCCCAACAATACTTACCGTACAGCTCTTTACTTCTCCGAGCCTTTTCCAAATGCGCATCTATCTCCTTGTCGCCTTGGCTGTCTCCACCAGCCCTGACATCCAGCTCTGCACCTTTCTCCTCATCCTCAGGCTTTGGTTTCTGGTCTGTGATGCCCTCGAGAGTGTTCTTTAATTCCTCCAGGCTGTCTTCATCCGCCTCTTCCTTGTCCTCCTCCAACTCCCATGCCTCTCTCAGGCTGTTCTCCAGTTGGCGGCACCAGTAGGTCTTCTGGAGCCATTGCAGGACAAAACAGCAACCTAAAGGAGGGCGCGAAGGCAGGCAGTGCCACAGGAGCAGCCACAGAAGAGTGACTCCTAGCAGGCCGCCGGCCTCATCTTGCAAGCACTATGGAAGGCCCAAGAGAAAAAGCCATGGCTCCAAGAAGGCACAAATCTTAAATATCCAGAAGTAGCCCCTCTTGCTCAGGGTTATTTGCTTTTTCCTGCTTACTAGCACCTTTCCTAGAAAAAAACTAACACCAGACTTGCAGACGGGATGCCAAAAATGGCACAGAACTGGCAAGTGGGAGAATAGGGATAGTCCCACTAGCAGGTTACAAGGCCTTGGCCAAGTCTCTTCTCTTTTTCTAGATCTCAGTTTCCCCCAGTATGAAGGGGCTAGGCTGAATCAGGGGTTCTTAGTTGGAATGGGGTATCCAAAGCACCTCTGGATTCATGACATTCGATAACTCACGCCTCTCAACCCACTCCTACTCACCTCCTCCTCAGGCACAAAACTTAAGGAGATACCAAAAAAATGCCCTGCCAAGCCATATTGGAGTCTAAAGCAAAAGAAGAAGTTTTAGTGTTCAATAACAGTAATCCTGTCTTTATTTAAAATTTTGGGGATTTTATTCATTGTGGGTTTTTCCAAATTAAAATGTTATCTATTACAATTGCTGAGCTTTAAAAAAATTGATTTTATATACATTTAAAGATTTTATGCCCTGGCTGGTATAGCTCAGTGGATTGAGCACGGGCCTGCGAACCAAAAGATCGTGGTTCAATTCCCCATCAGGGCACATGCCAGTTGCAGGCCAGTTCCCAGCAGGGGATGCACCAGAAGCAACCATACATTGATATTTCTCTCCTTCTCTCCTTCCCTTCCCTTCTAAAGATAAATAAATAAAATTTTTTAAAAATTTTATTAAAAGATTTTATTAAAGATTTTATTTACTTTTTAGAGGGGAAGGGAAGGAGAAAGAAGGAGAGAAACATCAATGTGTAGTTACCTCTTGTGTACCCCCTACCGGGACATGGCCCGCAACCCAGGCATGTGCCCTGACTGGGAATCAAACCAGTGACCCTTTGGTTTGCAGGCTGGTGCTCAATCCACTGAGCCACACCAGCCAGGGCTGATTAACTGAGCTTCTGGCACCCCCTTCAAGTTTGTGCCCAAGATGAATACCTCACTTGCCTCACCGTAGTCCTGGCTCTGACCCCAGGTGGAGAGCCTCCTTCCTGTCTCTCCTCACAGTGTTACTGAACCCTGGCCCTTAGGCTTAGATGTGATATATACCCTGGGGACTCACCTCTACGGCAGTCATTTATATGAGGCATTTTCTTGTGGGTCAGCTGATGGCGAAGTTCAACAATCCAATCTGGAATGTTCACCTGATTGTAGGGGAGGGTGTGCGTGCCGAAATTAGAGACCAGTCAAGCTGGAGGGGAGCACAGACATGAATGAGCCTGGCCTCCCCCCATTTTACAGATGGAGAAATTGAGGTCCCGAAAGGAGGTTTCAGTCTTTGTGGCAGAGCCAAGATGAGAAACCAGGTCTCCTGATTCTTTTTACTGCTCTGAGGAGATATCTTGAAAATCAGCAAAGACACTTGCCTCCCCCTGACCACCAGCCACATTCCTCCAAGAGATTCCTATAAGTGAGCATTAATAATACCAGTCCCTCTCCCTGGGTACCTTGTACCCCTCCTCCTTCCCTCCCTCCCTCCCTCCCTCCCTCCCTTCTTCCCTCCCTCCCCCCTCCCTCCTTCCCTCCCTCCCTCCCTACCTACCTCTGTCCCACACTCACTCCAGGAAGCTGTACCCGATTGCTGAAAACCCTCCTGCCCTCTACACACCTCGCACACCAGGACAGCATTGCCTGGCATTTCCATGATGCTTGGCTGAACTTGTCTCTTCCAGCAAACTGTCAGCTCCCAGAGGGCAGGCGCTGTGACTGCCACCTCTCTCCTGTCCCCACCCAGTAATGCATTCCATTTGGGCACCTTAGCTTCACTGGGCCACTTCCCAGCAAGCTGGGAAGGCCAAGCCCATTGAAGATAGCAGGCATACACAAGGGAGGAAGTCTCCTTGCTTCAAGCTAGAGGCTGAGGCTCTGGGGTTCTCGCTGGGCTTGGCTCGTAGTGATGGAATGAGGCAGCCTGGCTGGGTGCCCACGCGACCCCCATTTAGTGAGCCCTCCTAGGGGAAGAGAACTGAGCAAGACCACTTTGTCATACACACCTCCTGAGCCAGGCACTTGAGGGGGAGCCTGGCAGACTTTGTCTTCCTCTCCGAGATAAGATTCACAAACCTGGGGTTAGGGGAGAAATGAGTGGCACAGCCCAAGTAACTGTTTTACTCAAACCAGTGGGGCTTCAAAAGCCCTCGCTGATTTCCTGACACCTTGCATTTTCACAACCTGTCCACTGACTGTTCTGTCCTGTTCTTACGGTTAGTGTCAGCACAGCAGGGATGGCTCCATCCAGTCCAGCACTTACTGAGAGTCTGCCCTGTACTGAAGCCATACAGGTGAATAAGACACTGCTTTGGCCTCGAAGAACTCAGTGTAGGATAAATAGTCACGACATAAAACAGCATATTATACTAGAACATAGTACGTTATAAAGTGCTAGAACCAAGGACTATATCACATGATACGGAGAAAGTAAGAAGAGCCAGGAAGGACCTCGAGGCAGACAAGGGGAATAGGATGAGATGAGAATCTCTGACACATGAGAAAACTCAGTAGCAGCCTTTTCCCTGATGTGCATGAGACAGCTAGAACCCCTCTGAGGCACTTTGTAAGCCTGGAACTCTCAGCCCATGTCTCCACTTTCACAACTCAGCAACCGTTCGGAGAAGGGGAAAAGGGTAGCGCTAGGCGAACACTGGGGTAGAGTTGAAAAATCCACATGAAATCATGGGACAGGGCACTGAACCACTCAGAAAAGTTCCTCCGGGTGAAAGAGTTAAGGCGGGGAGAATGAAAGCAACCTGCCAAAGCTGGAAGAGACCCATAGAGATCACTTGGTGTTAACTGCCCCCCACCCCGCAGTCTTAAGAAAAAGAAGGCAAGAAAAATGGAAGAGAGAAGGCTCTCAGGTGAAGAAAAAGAGGAATATATGTTGACAGGGTATAACAAACCTGTCACATCAAGGAATCCCAGGGTGACCCGTACACAGGGAAACATGGGGCTTTTTCCTTTGGGTACCACCTGAAGCCAAGATTTGTTTATGGCATGCTAACTCTCCACCCCACCCCTATCCCCCAAACCACCCTCTACCCATACCCATGTAGGTCTTACCTGACCAATGCCATGCCATAGAGCAGTCTAAGTTCGTCAGTGCCCAAGCCACCAGTTACATCCAAGAGCTTACAGCGTACGAGGTCAGCAGTAGAAGCCACTGCCAGGGGCAGTTCGTTGCCTAACCTAAAGGGCCACAGTCGAGCACCATCATAAAGGTCCCTTACACTGGTCCACCCTCCACCTCAGAACGTAGCTTGCTGTGGGCTATTCCAAACACAGTGGTGTGAAAAGTAGGTTTATAGTTGTGAGTACACAAAACACAGTTTATTCTTGTATTATTACTTCTTAATTATTGTGTTTATTTGTATTATAACTGTATACCTACTTTTTCCAATTTATCTATATACTGGCTCAAGTGGAACTGAGTGGACACAAAGTGGAAAGAGGAAGGATAATGTCCGTGGGGTCCAATTGTATACAGGGCATGAGAGGTTGGCTAGGATACACAGAGGACATCTAACTGCTATGCAATCAATGAACAATTCAGCATGGACACATTCCTTTCTTTCCCTTTAAACTTTCAATTCATTCTGCTAGAAAAGACCCTTGTTCCTCCAGAATATTATCCCTTGTCTGCTTCCAAATCAATCTTACCAACCGGATTGAGGTACTCCATTGAAACATGGCTTTGCGGGCAACCTCCCCCCGAACCTCTCTAATTCAAATCAGGAATCCACCCTAAAATGCTAATCCACTCCTTAAGCCCTGGCTCAGCCACACTGGTCCCTCCGACAACCTCCTCAAACTGGGAGAAGTTAAGGGTAAAAACTTACAGATTTAACAAGAGGGTTGTTGAGACACACCCTCCTTCTTTCCACAAACAGGATTAGGACCAGACCTTGGCTGCAACTTTCCCTCAGAGACTTGAGAGAAGTATCGCCCAAACCACTGTGAGGGGCACCAGCGGCAATTTGGGGCATGACTGCAGAATGAAGCCATATAGGATTCCCACAGGTAGGTGTGATCAGCACGCAGGCAGGAGGGCTGAGCTGATCGCCTTACCTGCTCCTCCACGCTGTGATGCGGTTCAGCGCGTACCGCTGCAACTTATGGTCATCACAGAACAAGTACACCGTCACCTGATCCCACTCAGCCTTACTGAGCCAGGCGACTACGATGCGCTGGGCCCAGAGGGGCGACAAATTTTTCTCTTTGACGCCCTTCCCGCACCACGCAGTCCACACGCGATCCATCCCCCAAGAACCCAGACCTGACCTGACCCAGGAATCCCACTACACCCTAGGCTAGACACCAAGCCTGGTGTCACCGTACTCGCCAGAGCCTTCAGCTCAACGTGCTAGACTCACTCCTAACCGCCACCGCACCAGCAGCCAATGGGAGAATGTGACCCTGACGCAAGCCCGCCTCCCACGGAGGGTGTAACAAATCGGAACTTGAGAGCTGGGGACAGTAGGAAGCACGAATTGAAGATGTGGCTTCGCCTGCCGGAAGTGTTCTCTTCTCAAAACAACTCTACCAGCTACAAGTGTTCGGCCTCAAGGTTCCGCTAATTTCCTAGTTGCTAACGGGTCTCAGTGACGGATCCGGAGAGACCTTGTGTGGAGTACAGCAGAATTTTAGTATGCGCCCCCTGGCGGGCAAGAGAGGGATTGTGGTTATCCTAGGTACCAGAAATGCACTTAACGTTTTCCTTGCCGCCAATCAGCACCTGACCCAGTAGAAAATTATGGACACTGAAGCAGGACTACAGAGCAAAATATCTAATATCTAAACATCTAAAGTTGGGTTGAAAAATCTGCTGAGCCTTCACATCTGTACAACGCAGGGCTAAGAATGGCTGATCTCTCGGTTCTCTTCCATAGCTGAAAATTGTAGGGAGTTTACTCTGCCAGCTTTCCACTTCTATGTTGGCTTCATCATCCACAAAGGTATGTTTCATTTTTTTTGATTAATTCCTTGGAATTCTTCAGTTCCTGGAAGAAAGCAATTTTATGAACCCCCCTTCTTATTGTACAGGCTGGTTAAAATGTGTTTAGGACTCCACCCCAGTCCTCACAGAAGTCATTTTCCAATCTAATATTGGAGAGAGAAATGTTGTGAGCAATCTGAAGATCACTGTTGTGAGTAGGCTCTTTTTTTCCCCACTTTGCCGCAACAAATTCCAATCCATTTTCCACATATGCTTCTTTGTCCAGCCAGCTTCTCCTAAGATGTATTCTGCCCGTGGTTCCTGAATGGTGGTGGTTACTGTGTCCTGAGCAGCCATGCCAATCAGTTGGCCAGGTATCTGCTAGAAACCAGATGCCCTTTCACCTTCAGGGTCTCACAGTTCTGGAAGTCAGAAGTCCAAAATCAGTTTTATTTGGCTGAAATCAAGGTGCTGGCAGGGCTATAGTCCATCTAGCTGCTCTAGGGGAGAATCCATTTCTCGTATTTCCCAGCTTCTGGTAGCTACTGGAATTCCTTGGCTTATAGCTATATCACTCCAGTGTTCAAGGTCAGCATCTTCAAATGTCTCTGCTCTGCCTTCACCATTTCTCTATGTTGGTAAGACTTCCCTCTGCTTCCCTCTAGTACATGCAATCACATTTAGGGCCCACCTGAGTAATCCAGGATAATCTCCCCATTTCAAAATTGTTAATTTGATTATGTCTGCAATTAGATGTATTATTAAATTTGTGTTACCTAATAAGGTAGTATTATTTTTTAAATTTATTAATTTTACCATATAAAGTAACATTTACAGGTTCCAGGGATTATGAAGTGGAGGCCTGATTTGGGGGAGGGAGGAGTGATTTCTTCAGCCTGCTACAGACACATGCTCAAGAATCCTAAGAATCCCTAAGCATGCGGTGCTGCAGAACACCTTCAGCTGTACCAGTGGGCTTGAATTCAACAAGCACTCTCCAAGCCTAAACCATTGTCTATGACATCTTGAAGTTGGTTACATTTGTCTTCAAATTATTGGTTCCCCTGATTTATTTCACCATCCACCCTCTCTCTAACTCTTCAGCCCCACTTGATGCATCCTGCTGACCTAAGGCAGTCCCAAGGCCCCTACTGAGTACATACCTAGATGTTGATGCCCTTCAAGTCTCCAGCTCTGGTCCTAATCTTTCTCTGGAGCTCCACATTCATTTAATCAACTGCCTGCTGCACTCAATACCAACCTGTTCAAAAATAAAATACTTTCCCCATAAATTTGACGCCCTTCCCATACCCTTTGATCCCAGTAGATGGCCACACTATCCACACATTCATCCAAACTTCAATCTCTGAACTGAACAGCTGGGTGTTGAATTCTGGCTTTACCACTAACTCTATATGTAAACTTGAACAAGATCTCAAAATGCAGAAAAAAGAGTACTTACCTCACAGAACTATTGTAAGGGTTAAAAGAAATGAGTATAGTATTCTCAGTACCACATATGGCACATTATAAGCACTTGAAACATTAGCCTGTATTGTTATTAATATCATCATCCTTCACTATTCTACCTCCTTCAGCTCTTGTTTCTATTCCCCACACTTACATAATCTGTCTAGTAAATTCTACTTACTATTGTTTTAAAATATTTTATTTATTTTTAGATGGGAAGGGAGGGAGAAAGAGAGGGAGAGAAACATCACTGTGTGGTTGCCTCTCACACGCCCCCTACTGGGGACCTGGCCTGCAACCCGCGCATGTGCTCTAGACTGGATATTGAACCAGTGACCCTTTGTTTTGCAGGCCCCCACTCAATCCACTGAGCCACGCCAGCCAGGGCTACTTAGTATCTTTTTAATCAGTCGTTTCCTTGACATTCTCATGGCCACTGCACCACGGGTATGTAGTTGTGGCCTTGGTTCACTCTGGGTCATATACTACCTGCCTAACTGGTGGTTTTGTTTCCATGCCCCCATCACTTACACAGCAGAGAGGGGTTTCATAAACTAAAACTGCATCTTGTTAGAATCATAAATTCCTGGACTGTTTTCCTGAAACAGTAGGCATTAAGTAACTTTCCAAAGGTTTTTACAATTTGGCTCAAACCCACCTCATGCCTACTTACTCTGTATTATGTTGAAGTTACAGCCAATCTCTGAATATGCAAGCCTCTTGTAAGCCTCTGTCCAGGGGTGTCCAACCTGTGACCCTCAAGCTGCATGCAGCTCAGGATGGCTATGAATGTGGCCCAACACAAAATTGTAAATTTACGTAAAACATGATGAGATTTTTTTATGATTATGTGTTGCAATGTATTTAATGTGTGGCCCAAGACAACTCTTCTTCTTCCAGTGTGGCTCAGAGATGCTGAAAGTTTGTTTACCCCTGCATGCCTTCATCTATTATGTTAGCACTATTTAGAATGCTCTTCTTTCTTTCCTCTTTCTAGCAAACCACTACTCATCTTTTAAGATGCAGGATCCTTTGCAAAATCTAGTTCTCCCTGGCAGAGTAAATCTGTCAGGTTCTTCTCTGAACCCCCACATCACTTTGTACATTCTTTCATTGGAAGAAATAAGAAAATGAAACAGATGCTGAATGGCTACCAAGAAAGCAGACATTGTTGAGAAATTTCTCCACCCTTTTCATGTTCCAAAAACAGCTTATTATAAAGGACCACATTGCCCTGGAATATTCTGAGATAAGGCCCTCTCCATACTTCTTCATTATTACCCTAAGACTTCTTGATGGCTCCTTTGTTTACCTGCCTCTATGAAACTCCAACTTTCCTTTATCCCCCACTTGGAGCATTCTCCCTATGGCTATAATCTAAATAAAATCATCTCATTAATTGCCTGAAGCATTTTGTCTTCCACATGGTCCTCACAATTCTTTGACATTGGTTTAGTTCAAATTAGTTTACAGATGAGAAAACAGAACTCAGTTACGTGACCTAAGATGGCACCATAAAGAAAGGCCGCTCTTTCTGCAATGTTCACCCAGGAGATGTGATTTACCTGTTTACAGGTCTGCTTCAGACCTTGAGAGTTTCAAAAGCAGGGGCCTCTAGGGCTCCAATGAACCTTAATCCTTGTTTGCTGAGTGAATTCCTGAAGAAACCACAGCAACTCCCACTAAGGTAGCATTGTGGTGTTTTTCAGTCTTTCTTTTTAACCCAAGCCTCTTTTTAAGAATTAGGTAAAACAAATGTGAGTGACTAAAATTCTGAGCCAACGGAGATTTTACATTTTAAAACGGAGAATACGGTGCCTTATCCAAAGTAATGGGCCCTCTGAAAAGTTCAGGCCTGATGGGGGAGGGGAAGGAGAAGTTAATGTCTCTTCCAATACCTCCAGCCTTCAGGAGCCCCAAAGTGGCAGGATTTCCTCAGAAAAGTCAATGGCCCGCTGGGGACTGGAATCTCTTCATTGGCCACTGTATTACATTTATCGTTCTATGCAACAGTTCCGCAGAATCAGGTTCTGGGAGGTGATATCTAGATAAACGCATCTCAGGTTAACTGCTTATTCTGTTGTAGGATTCTGTCCAGAACCATAACATTCTCCCAATGGAGGGGAGCCCTGAGGTCATCTTATCCAGTCCCCTGACTAAGTAGGTTGTATTTCAGTCAAGGGGGAACCTATACCTTCTCAAGGGTTTGTTTTAGACGCTCACAGTAGGAAGTCTTTTGTGTCTAACCTCCATCTTCTGTGCTAATTTAGCAATGTGGCTTTCTTTCTGCTTTCAGCCAAAATGGTGGACGACAGACAGTCTTATGGATTCACAAAATTCCCACTAAACCATTAACTTACCTGAACAGGACCTCTGTTTCAATTCTCAGATTATGTAGTCTTCCCTAACACAGCTGGGCATTCCTCTACTAGCATGGGAGACTAGATTGGAGCAGTGCAAACTGGCTGCGAGAAGGGATCATCCCTCCCAGGAGGTCTATTAGCATTTCTCTAAGGCAGTAAGTCGATTTTGAACATGTCTGGATCCATACTCATTGTAAGAAATACATTTTATTTCATGACTAAGTTTTCACGTACAAATGTCTAACTAAAACAAAATTTCCACAAAACAACACTGACTACACGCAATTCAGCTCTAGCTTGTCTAGTTTTATTCTTTTAAATGCTGTGCATTACTGCCATGTAAGGGGCTCATGGATATACACCACTAGCACCTGTGAAGCAAAACCTTCTACCCCTATACTTAGCCTAGACATTGAAAACAGAAACCATGCCTTACAGCTACACTAATATGATTTTTTTTTGCTGTTTTGCTGTCTTCATCAGTATGACTTTGCTCTTCCAGGACTCCCCGCCTAAGCAAATGGTTCATTACCAGAACATCCCGAAAAAGCCAACAACTAAGTCTTCAATGAAAAGCATTAAGAGAGATTTTGAAATGCACAAAGATTCTTTACACCCCTCACCTCAAAATCCTTGTGTTGCTGTTTCCACCAATCCTGGACTGCTGTATTACAATCCTTACCTGATTCTAATGAAGTCTCCGCATTGAAGGAGCTACTTCATATCAAACTTACAGTTCCGAAGTTCTAACCGTGCCTTCCCTCCCTCTGAGACACCTCTGCTGAAGCTTTGCAGAGGTGGCGTTCCCCTTTAGCTGCTAAGCAAGCCACTCAGCTTGTTCTTTTCAACAGGCTGTGTTGGTAATATTTGGGGAGCCAGCTTTCCACATGCAGCAGGGTGCAGTTACAACATGGGGTTTATAGGGGGAAAACTTACAAGCAAGCCGAGAAGTAGCAGAGCACACGTAGTCTCCCAAACTCTCCTTGTTGCCTAACACTGGCCCGCCACAGACGTTCTGTGTGCAGCAAGGCCAAAGTCCCAGCAAAGAGGAGCTTCTTGGACAGTAGGCGGACTTCCACTGCTAGCACTCAAAGAGAACAGGAGCTCCGCCCACACAATGGGAGAAGGGGCTAAGGCAATACCTAGTTTCTCCAAGTAACAAGAAATGTATCAGTAATCCCTCAGATCAGGAACAGTTTGCATTGTGAGGGACAAGGGTTGTATACCCAGGGCCCTTGGAATTCTCCCTGTCAGAAATGCTGATAGCCAAAGCCTTTGTCTTTCTACAGCTGGCTCAGTACAGCACGGCCAGTTCTCAGCTAAACTACTGAAAAAGGGAATGAAATGAGGATGCAATAGTGAACAGAGCAAAGTCCTGGTCCACATGGAGCCTACTACATTCCAGTGTAAGGAAAGAGAGAACCTACACGAAAACAAATACCAAGTGATATAATTTCAGGTAATGATGCAAGCTATGTTAAAAAAAGAAATAGCACCTTGGCTGGTGTGGCACAGTGGATTGAGTACCAGCCTGCAAATCAAAGGGTCACTGGTTCGATTCCCACTCAGGGCACATGCCTGGGTTACAGGCCAGATCCCCAGTTGGAAGCATTCAAGAGGCAACCAATCAATGTTTCTCTTGCAAGTCAATGTTTCTGTCCCCCTCTCTCTCTCCCTTCCTTCCCTTCTCTCTAAAAACAAATAAAATATTTAAAAAAGGACTATTCAAAATATCCCCAATATTTATATAGTTAGATTTACATGGTTCATGACAATTTATGTAATCTGTAAATGTAAACCTGTTTGGAAGAATATAATTGAAATAATATAAAGTTGGCAGGTGGTCAGATGGTAGTAGGCATGGCAGTTGTATCGAGGATCCAACTAAGCTTGCACTCCCACAGGTGGAAGAGTTCCTGAATCCTAGCCAGTAAGTAAAGGACTGGGATTTAACAATTCTCAGTTCCTCTGGCCTTCCGACCTGATATACAGGCCACCTGCTGAGCAACATAGGGCACAGCCAATTCATTGAACAAGTGAAAAATTAGAGACAGAGGTGACCAACCAGAAACCAGTTAGGCTGTTTCAATTCTAATGGAACCAGCCCAGACAGAAGAAAGCTGGGTACTTCCTAAGGGCTCCAGGCTTACGCTGGGACTAGACTCCTTCATCTCAGCTTCTTAGGACTTAGCTTCCTCATACCCTGTATTTATTCCCTTCTATTAATAGTGGTAAGCTAGGGGGTTGACCCATTTCACTTGAACTATATCTTCCCTTATCTTTAGCACATTTCCTCCAATATCCTGTAAGTACATTCATTTAGAATATTTAATCCCTTTTTCCTGTTCCTTCTCATCTCCATTCCCAGTGTTTCCACTCCCAACTCTAGATTGAGCACATTCTGTAGAGGTCTTCCCTGAACTCCTTTATGAGTTACTCTTTTTTTTTTTTTTAAGATTTTTTATTTATTTATCTTTAGAGGGGAAGGGAAGGAGAGAAGGAGAGAAATATCAATGTACGGTTGCCTCTCGTGCATCCCCTGCTGGGAACTGGCCTGCAACCCAGTTGCCCTGACTGGGAATCGAACCGCGATACTCTGGTTCGCAGGCCCGCGATGAGTTACTCTTTTATGCCTGTACTTATTTCTCTTTTTTAAAGCATGTACACAAGTGTATTATTCCATTACACGTTTTTTAAAAGATTTTATTTATTTCTAGAGAGAGAGAGGAAGGGAGGGAGAAACAGAGGAAAACATCAATGTGTGGTTGCCTCTCACACGCCCCCTACTGGGGACCTGGCCCACAACCCAGGCATGTGTCCTGACTGGGAAATGAACCGGCGACCCTTTGATTAGCAGGCTGACACTCAATCCAGTGAGCCACATCAGCCAGAGCTTTTTTTAAAATAAAAGGTTTATTTTTAAAATATTTTTTTTTTTAGAGAGAGGAAGGGAGAGAAATATTTATGTGTGGTTGCCTCTAGTGCACCCCTACTCGGGACCTGGCCCGCAGCCCAGGCATGTGCCATGACTAGAAATTGAACCTGCGACCCTTTGATTCACAGGCTGGCTCTCAATTCACTGAGCTACACCAGCCAGGGGCAGTTATTTCTTTTTTGATGGCCACATAATATTCTGTGGTAGGACCATACTGTAACTGTTTCAACCATCCCATATCAGTGGGCAGTCACTTTGTTACCAATTTCTTGCCACTAAGAACTATGATACAAGAACATTCTTGTAGGTTTGCTGAAGAGGCAGTACTGCAGTACATAACTCACACAGCTAAACCTGGTAGCCCTGCCAGGAAGGATAAACAGACTCTTAATTTAAAAACAAACAACCGTGACTTGTACTGTTTGCTGATTTCCATGGTTGAAATACCTTTGTCATAGCTAATTTCAAGCTATCAGTGTCAAACTCCTAAACGCAGAGTTGTGAAGAGATGCACAATTGGCTCCAGTTTGTATCAACCGGCTGCAGAGCATCACTGTGAGGACTAAGAGGAAATGTGGAGTTTGTTTACTTGGTTTTTGTTAACTTTTTTCATGGCAGGAAGAAAAACAGCACCCTTACTAGCAGGTCTGCACTGCACAAATCTACATGGCACCATTCACATATAGGGAAAGAAAGTTGTACAAAATGCAACTGCTCTCGGGTGGCCCTGAGGCAGGTCAGTAAGAAACTGAGAACATTCATTCCCTGGCGAGTGTAATGAGGAAACTGAGACAAATGGTTGAACAAAGGGCCAGAATGGCTGAGCAATTAACAGCCAGCTGATAAATCACAAGACCCTCTCCTCCCTAACAGACAATGCCTAAGAGCAGATGGTTTAAATCACCAAAGGCAGGGAGGGAGATAAGAAAAACCAATTAGACCCAGACTAATCTAAAATGGAAGAAAAACTGACCAGAGAACGACCCCAAAGCTTATTATACCATCATTATAATAAAAATGACACCACAAGTAGAAGCCTATCCCCCCCCTTACTCTCCTGCCAGGATTGTCAAATACCAAGACACTCCCGGAACAAACCATATTAGGAACACCCCCCCCCCCCAACCTGAAGGCGGAATCAGAATTTGGCGCCGAGAAGCTTAGAGACTAACTCCGTCTCCCCCGCCCTCCGCCAAACACGTAAGATCCCAAGAATTAACTTACCACGTGCACAACTGAGTGAGTTGTCCAATGTCCACTGGGGTGTGTACTTTTTGCTTCTTTCACAGAGGTGCCTGCACCCTGACCTTTCTTTTTCTCTACCTGAATTAAACTTGCTTTATTGTCACCTGGATGCATGCCTTGAAATTTTTTGTGCTCGAATCAAAAACCTGGAGGTCTCCTGACACTCCAAAGCTCCCAGACCTTGCTGGGGCAGGGCCAGCCCCCAGTGTAGGAGCTGTCTGGTAACAACCCTATTTCCTAGTACCTGTAAAATGATACAATTTTGCCTCTTTGTAAACTAATAGGACAGGCCCTGACTGGTATGGCTCAGCGGATTGAGCACCGACCGGTAAACTGAAAGGTTGCTAGTCTGATTCTCAGTTAGGGCACATGCCTGGGTTGTGGGCCAGGTCCCCAATAGGGGGCGTGCGAACAACGTATTGATGTTTCTCTCCCTTTCTTCTTCCCTTCCCCTCTCTCTAAAAAATAAATAAATAAAATCTTTTTTTTTTTTTTAAAAAGGCACAGGGCAGAATGTCTCCAAGTTCAGCTTGTAGCAAGCTCACCTGGAGTTCTGGTTAAAACCAAGATTACTGGGTTTCACTCCCAGGGTCGCTGATACTGTAAGTGTGGGATAGGACCTGAGATTTTGCATTTCTAACAGGTTCCCAGAGAGTGGTGACATTATTGATTTAGGGACCACCTTCAAGAACCACTCTGTATATTAAGCTAGGTGTTTTCTCTGTGAGCAGGATATATGTAGCTGGAATACTCAATTAGAATGTCTGCCCTAGGGAATAAGGGCTTAAGGTAGAGTGGGGTCCCAAACTCCGATGCCCATTGGGTCTGGCAGGCAACAGAAGTATGTGTAGGGGCAACTTGGTGTAGAAAATGTTCATTTAGGATTAATTCCTTTGCTTTAAGGTTTAGTTGTGTTAAAGACAAAATTCCACTGAGTAAACCTGAAGATCTAGCTGGCTGTATTAAATAATTCATGAATCAAACAACATTCCATCTAGCAGTTAGAAGGACACTGAAGGTTTTGTACTAAATGGAAGGTTTCTATAGGAAGGAGCATGTGGCAGGGAAGTTCTTAGTAAAATAAAATCAAGGATTATGTTTAGACCAGGATATCACCTTTGTGGGGGGGGGGCAGCAAGGGTTTTATTATGCAGATTGCCTCTTGTTCCTATGGGGGGTGTGGTAGAGAGGCCCCACATGACAGATTACCTTTTTGGTGTTGACCGGAAAATTTAAGACCGGTTGATTAAAATTACATTTCTGGTTTAGGTTAAAACTGCAGTTAGGTTAGGTATTAACTCTAGGTTTGCTTTAGCAGAAGTGATGCCATTTTGGGCCTGTGGTTTTCTGTTTAACAGGAGCTTTACAAAGCACAAATTGACCAGGGTTAACGGCATTGGAGAAATAGGAGCTACACAGTGAAGCTGAGGAATGGCGTTGACATGAGGGAGTCAACAGCCCAGGACCACACTGTAAAAGAGATGTCAAAAAGGGGAGAGGGAAGGTTTATAGCTTCCTTTCTTCTGCCCTTCCCCCACCTCCATACTCTAACATCTGCCTCAGGATCCTCAAATTCCAGGATATTAATAGAGCCTGCTGGGTGGGGGATGTTTTGGCTTGCACCCAGCACTAAAGTGGAAGGGCCTGCTTAGCCTGCAAGCCTGATTCCAGAGAGTGTAGTGATATAGGATCTGCACTAGGTGGCAGCATATGCTAGTATTTCTGTCTCTCTCCTCAAGACAATGAGCCAGACCCTTATCTGGATTTCTGTATCTGTAAAATGAGAACTTTGGACCAGATTACGTCAACAGTTCACTTCTATGAGTTC